CCGCTTCATCTTCATATATATCAGGATAGTTAGCAGCAATAGTGATCTTTTTTTTAGGACGACAACCCTGTAAATCCCATGTTTCAACGACACCATTCAAACTATAGCGTATTGCATAAAGCTGGTTTTTGCAGCAGATGATGTCATCATAATTTTTAGAGCTACCTTCGATTATGGTCCAGGAACTATCACCATTCTTATAGAATCCGAGACCTACCCTAAAGTCGCAGATTACGACGACACCATATTCACCATCTGGTTCTGCAGTTAGAATAGCTTTTACTGGCCTTAAAATTGAACGTTCTTTTAGTACACTTTTCAGGTGTGGTTCCAGCAAGGGTAGTTGAATTCGGTGCTCCGTAAAAGGGTTTAACAGGAAAGGAGATTTAGTGGTGTCGTCAAAGAAAATCAGCCATCCGTGTGATGATCCAATGCATTTGAACTTAAAAAACAAATCCGATGTTGTTTTCTTCAAATAGTAAACAATGTTTTCTTCCACGTTCATCAAGCAGCAGCTGGGAGCGTTAACATAGCATTCTTCTTCTTCTTCTTCTTCCTCTTCTTCTTCTTCATCTTCATCATCATCATCATCATCATCAAATTCAGCTTCTTTTGGGGGAGGAAACATGAGCCATGGAACTCGTTGGAGACAGGACTTGGAAAGGAGGACAGCTTCCGCAAAGGATTTCCAGGTTGAAGACACGGCTTTTATTCGAGCAAGATCTTGTAGGGGTAGACGTTGGAATATGGATTCCAAGACATGGCTGGGCAGCACCAATTCTGGGTTCTTTCTTCTTCTTCTTCTTAGGGCAATACTAATTCTGGATTGTTTATTGGTATTCATGGGGCAAGTCAAGAGAGTAAAACGCAAAACATAAATTCAAGGGTTTTAGCCAAGCATGTCTATTATATGTAGTTTCTCTAGTCTTATAAATAATCGAACTTCTTTTCCTTCTCAAACTCCAATTCCTTTGCCATATAGGAAAAGGTCTAAAGGAGCTCCAATTCATTTAGCTTTGCTGCTTTGTAGCCCGTTAGGTTTATTTCTTAGGGAATCGTAGTTAAATAACTGTTTTCACATGAAGAATTTGTTTAAATTATAAGAGTTTCCTCTCTGATAGTTCAGATTGGGACTGTAAGTTAAGAATTATTAAATGAGGAGGAAGCTCCAGTTTCAGGCCCTCATCACTAATTTATCAGGGCCTGTTTGATTTGGCTGATAATGACAACCTACAACCGTTTTTCTATAGGTAAAATGATGTTGAGGGTGCTCTATAGGCTGATACTCTCAACTATTACTAACCACCAAACATCAGCAAGCAGTCTGCACTCTGTTGGCACAGTTGTGTACTCTTACTTAGTTTGATCACTAATTCCTAAACTAACAACCAAACCAAACCAAATCAAAGAGGATCTAACTATCGCACAAAGAATAGAATTGAATCAATTGATACAGGCAATTAAATCTTTTTATTTTCAAAATTTCTCAATCTGTTATATCAAAACAGAGCTTAGCCTCATCCCAAGGACCATTGATCTCAAATTTGTACGCTTGAATCCTTATAAGCCAATAAGGGCACACCACAGTCACAAAGATGAATATCCCTAGAAGCAATACAAAGACCAAAGGATGCAGAGCATACACAAGAGCCAATGTCACACCCATCAATCCCACAGAAAACACAAGGTGCAATCGAAAAGAGTATTTCTTGATGCAATAGGTGATCAATGGAGCAAAGAGGAAGACCTGTAAGGAGAAGAGCATGATGGCAAAGACATGTACCCTGGACGGCAGGCGAGAGGCTATGAACACTGATGCCACCACAGAAGCATTCAAGGAGATACAGCTTGTCAAGTTGGGGTTTTTCAGTGCTCCCGGAGCTGTGATTGTGGATCCGGAGTAGTCGTGGAGGAAAAGATGGAGAAGGAGAAGGGGAAACGTTACTGCCCAGATGGAATCCGAGCTGATGGACCTTGTCAGGGTCTGATAAATCGGAGCCAGAACGTATAAACCAGTGGTGAAGAAGGAGATGTTGAGGAAGTAATGGAAGAGAAGACTGAAGGAAACCATTTCCTCCGTTAGGGTTAGGATTAGGAAGCCGGAAACAAGGAGGGCTATGTCGAGAATCAAGAGGGAGTTTTCGCTCAGGGATGATCGGAGGGTGTAGGTCCAGACCAAGACGACGAGGGCGACGATGCAGAGGTATTGGGAGATGGAGATTGAATCTTGCATTACTTTCCCAATATCCCGCTTGACGACGCTGGCGTTCGTCACCATTCCCGCCAGGAAAGTCTCGTCGGTGTGGTTGTCGTCGAATCCCGGTTGCATCCCGCCGTAGGCGACTTTCCGCCATTTGGGTCGAGTTGGAGAAGAGTCACCATCGCCGGTCGTGCCCATGTCAATTCCTTTGTTCTGTGGCAAATTCAACTTCCTGAATTTCAGATCCTAGAGAAATTCACAGAAACATTCCAATTAGGTAAATCCAATTTCTTCATAATATGAAATTCAAATCGGAAATCGGACTCTTTCCGAATTGCAATGAATGTTTCACCTGCCTTGTCGGAGAGAACAGTGGGGTAAAAGGAAATGCGTATGAAAGCTGATCTCCGACGACGGTGCGGCTAGGGTTTCAATAGCGATGCGGGTTAAATTTATTTTATGACCCTAACCTTTACTGTGTCTGACTGTTTTTCCCTCAATTCTTATTTTCTTTTTCTTACCAATTGCATTTGAAAGCGAAGTTGTTTTTGTTTTTGTTTATTTATTTATTTATTTATTAAGTTTATTTAATTTGTATTTTTAAAGGTATATTAAATATATTTATTGGTCATAAATTTATATTAAAAAATAAAAATTAATATTTAATTTATCAATTATTTAATTAAATTTAATTGACACTAAAATTACTATTAATTTTTACATTTTTTATATATATTTAATACAAAAAAAAAATACTTTTACCTTATACTATAAAAACATTTAGAAAAATCCTTTTATATTTGGTAAAAGTTGCAACTTGCAAGTACTTCTTTTGTTATTACTAATTATGTGCCTTTTGAATATTAACCTCTACTAATAATATTTCATTACCTATTTTCAAAAAAAATTATGTGCCTTTTGGACCATCTCACGGTGAAATTTTTCGCCAGGATTGACGAAGTTATTTAATTACACTTTTTCTAGATGAATAATTATTTAATTGCACTTGAAATCTGGGTTAAATAAGGTTAGTCAAGGTTAGTCAAAATTCCCTCTTAAGCCACCAGATTTACTCTAAATTAATATGTAAATCTTGATATTAAAAATAATATAAATGAGCCTTTAATTCTCTCCAATAATATAAATCAGCCTTCACAAGAGACATTCTCGGTTGCTTCTTTTTTCTTTTTTTTTTTTCCCTTTAAAGGCACAAATATTTGTTGCAACTGACATGCACTGCAACCATTTTTTTATTTAAGGAAAAAATTTGACTCAAATTTTTTTTATTTAAATATAAAAATATGTTAAATAAAATAATATTAATATAA